CTGCTCTGGCACAGAGGACAGACCACGCAAACACGTCCTCAGACAGCACGGTCTTACAAACTCCAGGGCGTATCTGCACTCCTGATATGTTTACCTCCCCTGGCCTGCCCACCCGCCCACCCACCCTCCCTCTGAAAAGTGCTCTTTCAGCGGCCAGGCTCCCACCCCGAAGAGGGCCTCCATTACCCCTGGAATAAGCAGGTCAGTCCTGACGGGGAGGGCAAGGAGCTCAGGCTGCTCCAGGGGTCTTCAGAGTAGGACCACGGAACCATGTCAAGGAGGAGCAAAGTCGAACTACTCGACTCATGATGGGAAGGGTAGGGGGGTTATGAGGCCCAGGACCCCCCCCCCCCCTCGGGTCTTCCTAAGGTGCCTGGGTTGCTGTGGTAACCAAGCGAAGATGCTGAGTGCCAGGCATGAGCAATATGAACAGAGATGGGCAAAGGTGGCAGGAAAAAAGTGTTTCTGGGCCAGAAGCAAGAACAAAGTGGAAAAAAAGCCAATGCAATTCGTCTCTCCCCCACCACATTCCCAGAAGGCATCCCAGACAGCACCAAGCCGGACGGTTATATGACACGTGCGTGTCTCATCTCCACAGCCACAAAGGCTGTTTCACACAGCCAGCTGCAAACAGGAACCCGATACCAGAGGTGCGACACAGGCCTGGAGTTTGACAGCACCCCCCCGCTCCTTAGGCTTTCATGTCAGGGGTGGGAAACCTGCAGCTGCGTCACATAATTCAGCACCTGATCGCAAAGCTAGTTTTGCCAAATTTGAAAGGATTTAGAGATCAGTGGTCATTGTTGACGCACACAGTGCACAACAACGAAGTGTGTCCTCTGCATTTAACCCGTATGTGACATCAGGACATCGCAGGGGGCAGCTAATTCAGCACCCGGGGAGCAGTGCTTGGTGGCAGTACCTCGCTGGTCGGGGATTCGAACCTGCAATCTTTCAATCGCAAGTGCGCTTCCCTAACCATTAATCCATCAATTCCCACAGCAAAGCTCAGCTAGCCGCAGTAGGTAATGGCGCAACGTATAACCCCCCCTCCAAAAAGGTCGGGACACTTTGTAAAATGTAAATAAAAACAGAATGCAATGATTTGCAAATCATCTAAACCCATCTTTCATTGTAAATAAAATGATAAATAAATGTTCAATTTGAATTTGATGCCAGCAACATCTTTCGAAAAAGTTGGGACAGGGGCAACAAAAGACTGGAAAGGTTGAGTAATGCTAAAACAAAACACCTGGCTGCATTAAAAACAGAGACAATTCTATAGTGGAAATCAGCACGTGGGCTCAGGAACACTAACGAAAACCACGGTCTGTGAACAGTATGTTGCTGCAGCCACAAATGCAGGATGAAACTCTACCATGCAAAGTAGAAACCAGATCTAAACATGATCCGGAAATGCTGCCGACTTCTCTGGGCCTGAGCTCATTTAAGATGGACTGAGGCAAAAAGGAAACAGTCCTGTAGTCTGATGAATCAAAATTTCATATTCTTTTTGGAAATCATGGGTGTCATGTCCTCCGGACTAAAGAGGAGAGGGACCATCTAGCTTGTCACCTGTGAAAACATTTTGCGCATCATAATACGAAAAATACGACGAAGGAGACCCTGAGCTGTTGAGCAGTTGAAATCCAATATTGGGGAAGAATGGGACAACTTTTCACTTTCAAAACTCTGACAACTGGTCTTCTCAGTTCCCAAACGTTTACTGAGTGTTGTTAAAAAAGAGGCGATGCCACACGGTGGTAAACACACCCCTGTCCCAACTTTTTTGAAACGTGATGCTGGCATCAAATTCAAATTGAGCAAATATTTGACATAAAATAATAAAATTTCTCAGCCTCAACATCTGATATGTTGTCTTCGTTCAGTTTTCAAGTAAATCATTGCATTCTTCATTTGCATTTTACACAGCGTCCCAACTTTTTTGGAAACGGGGTTGTATATTCAAACAACAATTTCACTGTATCCACAGTTCTAGCCTTTATTAATTCTGTGTGAGTGGCCTGCATATGATATCAATAATTGTTTGGGCGCTAATTGTACCACGGTCTGTACATGACTAGCAGCAGCACTGGTCAGACCCCTGTCCACTCATGCGTCAACAAAAACCTGCTAATACCCAGAACCTTCCTAGTACATCTGTGGGGAGGCAACAAAAGCGAGAAACGGCATTCTGCAATGCTTCTCCAGAATATCCATTTACCCCTCCCCCACAACCCAATGTTCAGCCTTTGAGTAGAACCGCACCGTGGTAAAGTCGTTATGAACATCACGGCGCTAAATTGGGGGGTGGGTAATGGAAGCAAGGCCATCCATGCCACCTGTTTGATAGCCCCTCAGGAGAGCACGTTAAGATGTTTAATAACCCTCCCCGTTGCCCTTTTAGCTGATGAAAGCTGGGAAAACTGCAATACCTCCAGGGCATGCAGCCGGGCAGACATGTTAACGCGTTAGAGGTTCCAGGAGTGGTGCAGGAGGGAAGTGGCATCACTCCATAACATGCTCCTCTATCCATGCTTCCTCCTCACCCTGGTACAGGAGACACCGGGGGCCATGCCAGTGAGGGGCAGATCAAAGTAATTTATGCTTCATTGCTGAAGCAATGCAGCTGAAGCAATGCAGCTGAAGCAATGCAGCGTGATGAGGGGAGGTGAGGATCACAGTCTTCTCCCCCATGCTCGGTCATACGTTTCCCCTATTACATCATCGGGCCTGGCTATAAATAGAACCTTCTCTTGGGGAGAAGAAGTGAACTTGTGATCCACAGCTCTACCATTGTGTCCTGCTCCGCTTGGCGCCATTCTGACGGGTCGCCTGCTGAAAGCTGCCAATAAAGCGCTCAGCCGCAAGTCACTGCTGCACAGCTGACTTTTCATGACGCTTCCAGTGTTGCATACCTCCTTAAACTTTAAAAACTGTCACATTAAACCCCCCCACTCTTAGCCACAATCTCTTACGGGGGTATTAAACTTTGCCCTGGAGGTTAAATTCCTTGCTCAGCAGTATTTCAGTGCATGACGTGGGACCCAAGCGGGAAAAACTCATTGCTTTTTCCAGTCTTCTAGGTGCTACAGAAGCCTGACGCATTTCGCTAAGGGCCAGCGGTGAGGACACGGGACCCCAGAACGAGATGTCTCTTGGCTGGGCTGAAGCACACTATGTATCCACTTAACGAGACTCCCCTTCTCTAGACTGACTGCCAAGTCATGGGTTCAGCCGTGCTGCCGGCTGGCGCACAGCCATCCCGCTGCCGTCGCAGCCCATCCTGCGATGCAGGGGATGCAGGCGACCGAGGTTGCAATTGAAACCGCTCACCGGGAGGTCCCGTCAGTCTCTTGCCCAAAGTGAGTTCCAGAGTAGGACAGCAGGTCCGGAACACAAACCCATCCTTAAAAAAATCATCTTGTGACTGCCTCTGCAGAAAGGAATTACCGTAGCTCCAGACTATTTTGAGTGCCCGGCTCAGCAGAAGGACTGCAAAACATTTACAGGAAATGCAGATAGAATTTTTTTCTAAAATGACTCTGACTTAATCTGAAACCTCTAATTCCTAAGGAGACGTTCAAAACTACCCACTGTAGGGAAGTGGTATAAGACAAGGGTGGAGCTAACGTTTTTTGTTTTTTTCTTTGGGGGTGGGCATGCATGCATGCATGCAAGTAGTACCTAATGGCACTAGCACTGCGAGAGTGCATTTATCTTGCAAGCAAAAGACATGCTCATGAAACCAGGGCTGCCTTCCCAAGAAAACCTGAATTCCAGCCCCGGAGATTTGGCCAGCACTATGGCAGAAGACACAGACTTGAACAAGACGATCCACGATTCATATGCAAATAGAAAAAGCCTTTCTGCAGTGAGGCCTGTAACAGAAGCACACGGTCAGCATCGCTCTCATGCTCATGTCATTTACTGGAAAGGGTTCAGCCAGCGCTGGAGAGAGCCAGTTACAGGCAGAACAGGCTGAGGCCACAGTGGAGAAGTGAACAGAACCTGATGGCCACGCGGGGACACACCCTGCACGACTGGGCAATTCTTTATGCTGTGCAACAAACTTGGGTCAATACCTCTGTAAAATCAAAGATTCAGAATCAGATGGGTCAGTATATATGCACGCAGATTTTAGGCAAATGGGTAAATAAACACAACATGACAAAATATGCCTGGCTGCACAATTCTTAAAATTCTGATTTAGAAATCACACTCAGCTTAAGCCCTACAGTCACGGTCACTCGAAGTGACCGGGGTCCGATTCCCGCCACGTACATGCGGTGCTGCCTGCGTCATCTCCCGCTCCTGAGGCCCCGCCCCTAGTGCCCTGCGCGCAGCACAAGTGCCAGCGCGAGCACGAGCACTTGTGGTTTCTCCGCACCGCTCTCGACACAGTGAAATTCACAGCTGATGTAAAAAGGCCAAGACACAGAACAAAGCTGCTAAGGACTTCAAGACATCGGGCCATCGGCTGCCGACGAAGACCGTACCAGGGTAGTACCAGGCAGGCAGCTTGTGCCGTGTGCGGTTCGACTATAACTACTGATAAAGAAAACTTAGCCTTAACTGACTGCCTTTTGAAATGTTTCACAGCACCCCCCAGCGCTCCCCTCCCCAAATACAAATTAGGTGACATACCTGGCGCTAATACACGCCCTTTTAATTCCTGGCAAAACGCACTGCGGTTCCCCGCACGTCAGCCGTGAGAGGACAACACGCCCCCCTCGCAGCAACGACCAGCCTGCGGGGGTCAGTACCCGGGGGGGACACACAATGCTAAACACGCTGAGAAGAAGTTAATGGACAGAATAATAAGTGATTCAGCCAGCACCGTGCAGCAGACAACACGTCACGACACCCCTTCGTTCCCAAGCCCAAATGCTTATATCGACACACAAAACAACGCATCCCACCTCGCTGTCATCCTGACCGGAGGGTCTGCGTGACTATGTCCCGCCACCACACCCCGCCCCCTCCCTGCTCCCTGTTACCTTGTTCAGGGACGGAAGCAGCAGCCCCCGCCATTTCGGGGAGTTCTCCTCGCTGAAGAAGTCGTACTGCAGCTGTGGCGCTTGCATGGCTCCGCTGCACGCGCTGCCGCGGTCGAGCGCGAGTCGAGCCGCACGAGCCTGTCCGCTCTTTCCCTCCCCGGCAGCCAAGTTTACATAAAACAGCTGGCGGATCACCGGCGTCGTTGTGCAAAAAAGAAAAAGAAAAAGAAAAGCAAAACAACGGCCACAGTCCCGCGGCTCAAACTGAGTGCCGAGACAACAGAGCTTCACGCATCCGAGCTCCGGCGCGATCCGTGGACCGACGTCGCGTTTCGACCCCGGGGCTGCCGCTTCCTCCCCATTTAAGTCCGCATGAGTCCGTGAGCTGAGCTAACCGGCTAGTCGGCCAGCTGCGGGTTCCGCCTTGGACGCCAGATCAAAGTGTGCGCGCCGATTCTGGGCCGCTCGGTTACTTAGTAGTAAATGTTACCTGGTGCCCAGCTAATAAACACCAACAGAGGAAATCGATCCCATGCTGAATCAGGGCTTAGCGCTGTCCCGTGGGCTGGCTAGGCACTGGCACCGCCGATTTGCAAAATTCAACCAGGATTAGGTCGAATATGTCACCGGCGAACCACTGGGAGTCCGGTTCTTCCTCTCAGATCGGCTATTTCAAGCAATTCCCCCCTCGCTTTGGGGGGGAAACCCCCTCTGAACGTAGCGACTCATCTTCACCGAATCTTCTCCGGGGCAGGAGACCGAGGGGAGATCTCACGTTTTTTATCCTCCATGAATTTAACGTGGGAACTCTCATAATCAGATTTTTTTTGTCTGCGAGTCTGCTGTTTTATGGGGGAGGAGGGGAATACGGCACCACTTCGAAAGGTTTTAGCCAAGGAGGTAAATTTGGAAGAGTGTATAGGTTCGGATGCCACTGGGGGGAAAACTGCGCAAGCGCAACGCTTGTTCTATCGCGCTGCTGCGCGGGGCTGGTCGATCCTGGATCAGTTTTTGTTCTATACAGCTGCGGAAACGTCTCCGGATTGACAGTACAAACAGATCCTAGAACAGTGGTTCGCTCTGTAGTTGATCGACCCCGTTTTAAAGCTCCACCCCTAGAGGAGTGAGACGCTAAGGGTCGCAGACGTGATTAGCAGATGCTGGTGCAATCAAACAGGAACGAAATTCCACCCAGGAGCAACCCCACCAGAGGCGTGGGGAACACGGGCGGCAAGCCAGTTAAACCAGTTGGTTAGCAGACTGCCTTTCGTACAGCTGAGGATGACAGTACTCGATCTGTTGTCCAAATCCCAGAACAGCATTTGCATCGCAGACTTCTTGGATTGGCTCCCAGAATCGTCCAAATTATTAGACCAGTAATATTCTAAATGTGGAATCGTCTCAAGCGTTTAATGTGACATCTACTTTGTAACTGACATTCTTCAAGGTGGCCAGTTTAAACTCCTGCAGTGATTATACTGCTGTTATACGTATACAATTGAGTGCATTAAGTACCTAATTTGAATCGCTCTAGTACATATCAAACCACGTTAATGAGCCAAATTGTAAGTCGCTTAAGATAAAAATAGTCGGTTAAGTGACAGGTAATAAGCTATGAACAGGCGAAATGTGGCTGCGCACCTTGAGAATGGAAGGCACAAGGGGCATTGGGTCATTGTGTTTAATACTTCGCATAGAATAATTCGTCTTTGACAGTTTGACAGAAGCCTAGTGGTAGTAACGAGAGGATATCGAAATTTAGGTCACACAAAGTTTTCGTCGGTATAACGCCTAACCCAAAGACCCATATATTCTACACTGCCCCCTGCTGGCCACAGCCGACAAGCAGTAAGGCCTCAGAAAATCTTGAGCTGACATCAGATCAAAAGCAGACCAAAAGAGCATTTTGTGTTTTTTATTCCATTAACTTCCAGGCTGCTGGGGTAGGGGGTGTAAAGCCATATCAGCATGCTTCCAAACAACCTCTGAGCAGACGAGGAAGGGCCTAGCTTAGAAGTGGAAGATCACCCATAGAGTCATTGTAAAGAGAACCTCCGGTTAAATACTGGGCCAAGTGACAAATTCAAGATGGCGACTCCCTCTCTGGGTCTGAAAAAACTCTTTTAACCAGTTTAAATATAATTAACTTAAATATATCATTTAGAACCAATTACTAATTTTATACTTTAAATTCCATCATGTTGCAAGCTAAGGAAAAACCTTTTATGTAAGGGCCGTTCCTCAGATCAAATAATAATGCTTTGGCTACGAATAACCAATGCTGTTAACACACAGGCAAAACCTGAAAATAAAGCATACCCATTCATTAATATCAGATAAAGTTCCCCCTTAAAATAAAGCTCTTCCGTTTAATGTGTTAACATGTTTAATAAGTCCATTATACATTTCAAACAAAAATATAGGCCATTATACAGTATTTAAAATGGACCAATTTTATTTTACAGTATGTACACAGAGCATTGGAATATTAAAATATTAATGCTACAACAGGATGGAGAAAAAAAAAGTCTAGTTATGTAAAATCATAACCCCCATTTTAGTTCTGGAAATGAATCCAAGCTAGGTGATTTTATAGTGTTCTGTTGACTACTATGAAGTAGGATATAAGTTTGTATCTGCCACCAACATCCCATAGTCACCATGTGTTAGAAGTAAGATGGATGAGGTACGCACACCTAACTCATTTTGGCCATAACTGAAAGACACGTTTTGGCATAACTTAAAACCTTAAGGCTACAGAACCAAAAAGGAATGTTCCATTTCAGGAGTATTTTAAAGGCAATTGCTCAGACTAAAATGCTTCTGAGAGAACCATAAAATAAAAACAGAAATTCATTATAATTAAGACAAATTAAAATTATTCGACAATGACACTAGCCAAAATACTAGCCGGAGTTAAAGTTCAAGAGGACAGACTTACTACGGCAGTTGCTGTTCACTTTGAAATCCAAGTGATATTTAAATGCATCTTTGCTGTCTCCGCATGTCAGCACATAAATACTGCATGTATGTAGATCGGTGGGTTTGTTCACTTGCATATACCCAAACGCACGAGTGTACACATGGGTATATACACAAATCACATCTTTCAAAATCCTTTGATATTTTTGTGCAAATTTTAACATCAGTGTATGCCAGAATTAATAAGACAAACGGGCAATGGCTTATTTTTGAAAGTATAGAAAAAATTCAGTTTATATTAAAAATGAGCAAATAACAGAACTAGGAAAAAAGTTCATTATTGGGAGTGGACTACTCAAAACAACTGCTATAAAACTGTAAAGTGCCTCTTTGTGTGACCTACAGAGAAAACCCCCTTTAAAAAGCAGTACCCCAGTTAACCTGCATCGTGAAACAAAACCTTTACACCTGTACAGTCTGGTCACTTGTACAACACATTTTGCACCAGTATCTACATTGCCTGACTTAAAATTTCAAAATCAGATAAGGTTGCTTCCTCCAAAAAAAAAAAAAATAGGTGTATATTTACAACAATTAAATATCAGTTAAGCACTTGTGTGGTGGTATATACCAATATTGGTGGCAACACTCGCATTCATACAAATAAGTCCATTGTATCTGTGTTTCATGCCACTTAAGTAAAACTGAAAATGAAGGAAGGCAGGCGTCAGTGTCCCCATTCATGCATGCCAGCGTCTGTTCATCTGTCCATACGTCCTCCCATACAGAGTGGCAATCCTTCTGTACTCCAATCCCACAATGCATTGTACGTTAGTAACTGTTCTCGTGACCTGCTAGGATGTAGAGGTTACTGTGGGCGGTGGGGTTGTCTGTTGGCCTGCTCTCAAGGACCACCACCCTGCGGGAAGGAAACAACATGCATGTTTAAAATACCCCTTTGCTCGGAGCAAGAAACCCTAAATCAACAGTGTGAAACCCATAAATATATAATGTTTTACTGACAAATGAATGGCCCTAATTTAGTGGCAATAATTAATAAATGAATAAGGGATTTAAAGTTTCAGTAAATCTACTGAAATGATTAAGGAACAAGATGCAAACCTAGACGACACACATCACATCACTGATCTGGTCCAGCACAATATTCTGTTGTCCACCTTTTCTTCCCAAAGCATCAAATTCCTAACCTTAATCCCCCTGCCCTGCTCAAACAAGCAGCTGCACACAACATGGGGAAGGTGCCAAGTTAAATACCTCTCATAAACCAAGAGTATTCAAAGCTAAGGAATTAAAAACCACAGAATAACATGAACCACACCTGAATTTTAAACTTTGTGCAGTTCCAAGACACAGCCACTAGAGCGCAGCAGTAAGCTAGACATAATAGCAGAATTTGACAGACAAAATTGAGGCGTGAAGGATTATCAAAGCAAAAAAAAAAAACTTCCAGCTGTCTGGCAAGACAACAGGGGCAGCCCAGTACAAGTCTTGGCACTCCTTTGTGTAGCTAAAACGCTATGTTCTCAGCTAAGGACAACAAGAGATATATGATAAATATCTGATCCTGCATGCTAGACCCAAACATCACTCTCTACCTGTTTTTGGGACGCAGGAGGAAGATGGGATACGTGGTATCTGTGCTTTATTGCAAAATAAAACATCACTGTTGTTTCTCCCTTACAAAAGCAGCAGTCTCCTGCTTTATTCGCACACGGCGCATGAGCCAAATAAAAGGATCCGTGTAAAGAGTGGGTTGCCTGCTGTAGCGTGTAATTACCCCTCCACTCACCTGTCAGCCCCCAGGAGCCTGAAGATCCTCGTATTATCGCATATCTCTTGCGTGATCTGGCACATAAACAAAAAACCCAGAAGAACTCTGGTCCGTAAGCAGCATGAGTTCAGGTCCGTCCCCCCCCCAGTTGTCTTTCAAGCAAAATGCATGGCGCAGAAATGCAGACTAACAAACCCTCCCCCACCCCCCCTGGGGTCCCACTCGGCCCAACACTCACCTCACTAGACTTGAAGCTCCGCCCTTGCATTCCATGCTTCCAGAATGCCAACACACTGTCCTGGAGGCACACTGTGGGGGGGCGGGGGGTAGTTCTCACATGAAACAGGCACATCTGACCAAACACATGCCCCCAATAATGTGAAACGCCCACTTAATAAAGGAAGCTGCAACCGCACGATCACACACCCAAGATTCCCCCGATGCGGGGAGGCGATGGCTCGTCAGTAATTACAGAAATAGAACAGAAATATTCATCATCGTGACATCACTGGGGTGCGAATTACACTCAGGGATGAACACGTAAGTTTATATAACAGTATCTTTATCGTATCTTTACCAATAGCAGGGAAAGCAGCCCAGCACACACAAGATCAGCTGATATGCATGGAGTTCGGGGGGGAAAACTCACCTATGGCTTCGATCTGGAAGTTGAACGTCAGCTCCGCCGACAGCTTCTTGCTGGATTTGAGCTTCCCGTGCAGGTTCACGATTTTTATGCAGCCTGGGATCAGAGGTGTCACTGCATCAGTAAGGGGCCTGCAGCCAATTAGGCCGGTAGGCTGTGAAGGGGAGAAGTGAGCGGAGAGACTTACGGTCTTGGCAGACTAAAATGGTGTCCCTCTCCAGTTGGGTGATGTGGATCACGCAGGACTGCGGGGCATCTGAGGGCACAGAGAGACAGACAGACATGGACCAGATCAGGTTGAATTAAGTATCAAATCAAACACAGAGCAACAGATACGAACAGGCAGACGATCACACTGACAATGTCAGATTGGGCATGATAGACATAGCTAGAGTCAGATGGGTGGATGGATGGCATGTCAGTCAGACAGGTGGGCAGGCAGTGAGAGACAGACAGAGACAGGTGGGCAGGCAGTGAGAATCAGTCAGACAGGTGGGCGTGCACAGTGAGAGACAGAAAGAGACAGGTGGGCGTGCAGTGAGAGACAGAAAGAGACAGGTGGGCGTGCAGTGAGAGACAGACAGAGAGACAGGTGGGTGAACAGACAGTAAATAATGAATGTAATCATAAGCTTCCTGACCCAGAGAGCAACACAAAAGCCATTTGAAAGACATTAACTGCAGCATTCTTCCATGCATGCACAGTGCTAAGGGGGCTGGTGAATGAGTGCTACCCAGAGGACACATTAGTGTAAAATGCTGCATCTCCCAGCCACAGGCTGAACACGGTGGATTCAGCTCGCGATTCCTCATGGTCAGACACGAGGCCCAGCGTACTTCTCTCCTCCCACCTACCGACCATGGTGAACCAGGACGACGTGGAGTTAGGGTTCAGGGTATGGAAGTTCACCACCTGACCCTGCTCGGCGCCCTTGCTGACAGCCATGCAGACCAGCGGGTACTGATGCTCGGGGACCACCAGCATCTCAAACACCTCCAGGGGGCAGGGTAGTGGGAAGTCGATGATCTGCCCATGAGACGGAACGGGGATGTCAGGACCCCAAGACACCAAAGCCCAGCAGATGATGTCATGTGACCTAGATGGTGGTAAATCAAGGCTTACCTTGATTAGCATGAACCTCTGCATAGACTCCACCCACTCCAGTAGGACAGCCCCATAATGGAAGGCTCCACAGAGGTACTTGTGGCCCGTGTATGGGTTCCTCACTCCAGAGACAAGGGGGTGGAACAAAGAGAGAAAGAGAGAGATAACAGGCTCACATTTCCACCTAAAGTCTCAGAGAGGGGCGTGGCTTCTTGCCAGCAAGACACTTGATTTGAGGAAGTTCCCTTCAATCATCATGCCTGGTGGAGTCTGGTTAGCTGATCTAAAATTTGACCAAAGCTTCTGTGCAAAGCTTCCAACCATTTATACACCAGGGTGTAATAGCAGGGGCTCAACAGCAGGGGTGCTTGAGACACCTCAACTGAAACAACGGGTTCCTGTTCCTAACCATTACACTACGCACCACTCAACAAACAAACAACGATCACAGAGCGCGGCTGATGCTCACCTATGCAGCACTTCTGACATCCCTTCGTGTCGGGAATCTTGCTGGACACGGCAAATTTCCTGGAAACATTCAGAGAGCGAAAACGTCTATGGGAATCCAGATCAAGGGCACTGTGCATTAGCTGTATTTTGAAATAAGTTCTTTATTTTCCACACTGTTTACCTGGGGATCATTTTGTCGGGCAGCTTGTGCGTGGGAATGGCGACGGGCAGCTTCTGCATCTGACGGGCGTGTTCAAAGAGGCCAACCAGGTTGTGGCAGTAGATCTGGGATGCTTTACCTGAAAGGCAGGAGGGCAGAGATCTTACCATCCAGGCCGAGCTGGGAAATCCTGCACTGAACTGTTTGTGCTGTGGACCTTTTCGGAACAACTAAAGGTGGACTTCAGCTTTTGCCCTGATCTCTGCCACAGTGTGATTGACCTCTGACTCCGCCTTCCCTTTCCCTCCTCCCCATGTTTCTGTATACATTAAGGGGGGGGGGGGGCTGAATTTCTTGTATTGCTATGGGACCCTCCCCCCAGTGCCTGGTGTCTCTCCCTAGCAGGGACTGTAACAAAGGTCAGCAACATCCTGCCCTGGGATCCTCCAGTAATCAGCTGCTCCAAGAATCGAAAATCGGCGCATCTCATACGTACCAGATATGGAGACCAGGATGTTGTTCATGACGTAGAGCCACGTACATCTCCGTGAGAAGAGCTGAAGGGCACACGCGTGCACATGCAAATGAGTTAGCATGTCATAGCTGTACCACAGCGAGGGAGATTAATGACCATCGGTCTGCTGTCAGAGCCTGCTTACGCACACACATGTAAATAAAAAACAGCTACAGCCAAAATGGTTCACCTGACTGGCATGATTTTGCATTGTGGGAGGGAACCGCAACACCCAGAGCGCTCACTCAATACACAGGCGGCGCCAAAGTCAGGCATCGAACCCACAACCTGCCCCACATGCCAAAACACTCCCCCGGGACTCACCTGCTCCATGGAGGTCTCATGGAGCTCGTTCAGGTTCAGGTTGTAAATGCCTTCTTCGGCACCAAACAACAAAAACTGGTCTGCAAAACAGCGATATGTCAGTCCGCAGTGGAACAGATTGGCACTAAAGCAAAACGTCCCAAAAAAAAAACAAAAGTATGAAAAGCTTCTTTATTCAGATATTCACAATAACAAAATAATGAGAAAACGTCTAATTAGGCAGCTCTGCCAGAAATTAACATCAAAGACGAGGACACTATCCAATACCAGTATGATAGGTCCACTGGGAGCTGGCATCTCTACGTCTGGCAGAGATTTTAACCGAACTGCGCCAGGAAATTAGCCCTGTGGCCTTACTGATGCTCTCCAAGTTTGGCTCCTTGCCTATCAGCTCCCCCTCCGTATGTTCTGCATATATTTATACCCTTATAATCCCAACCTTTGAAAGGCTCAGGGAAATGTTCCTTAAGATGAAAAAATTTTTAAAGAACATGCGTTCAGCCCCAGGGGCCATTTTTTAGAATTTATGGCACATTTATCAAAGTCAGCTTGCGTTGATCAACGGTCCAGCCAAAAAAGAAGCTGGCTGCATGTCCGACAGCCGTGCCATAATTATTTGTGCTTATTGACACCCCCTACATGAAGAGCTGGATTCCCCAAGAACCCACCTCGTGTGTCAGGATTTATCCAGGACGTGGCACAGTGGATTTTCAACGGGCAGCCGTTGAAGACCTTTGAGAAACAAGCACCCATCTGGAGTGGAAACAGGAAGTGAGGAAACATTCTTTCAAAGACTGGCCACCAACCTTCTATGGTTAAGATTTCTAATAACATCTACTAGTAAAGAGGCCTCTGGGATTGACCGCCGTCTGTTTAATCATACTCACATGGACCTTTGGAGTTGGCGGTAGACCATTACTTATGGGCCTCTGTGAAGTAAAACAGAAAATTACTGTAGCACGATCCAAGACAGCGAGGATATCTGCTAACAGTTACAAATACTGAGAGAGAAACTCCCACACTGAGCCGCCTGCCCACAATACCGGAATGTCCTTCTTGTCTCTCCGCAACGGGGCAGTAGGGGGCAGTGTGGACTGCTTTCCCTCCCTGCTGCTCCCCTGTTCTCCGTTAGCTGAAGACGCACTAACCCCGTTACCTGTGGAGAAAAAAGCTGCTCTCAGGCCTGACTTTACTCACTGTGTCTCTGGACCCCCTGTGGACCCCCCCCCGGTTTTTTTGTATTGCTGGCATTGACATTTAAAGTAGAAAATAAATCGCATATGAAACTACAGGAACAGAAAGCAAACGCGGAGATAATGAACTACATCTGCCTTCAAAAGAGAGATAACATAGTAATGTGCAAACAAGAGTTCGGAAAATTCAATGATTCATTGTAAAAAATTAATAAAAGAATAGTGGCAGGAAGCCAAGGTCTGGTTATGATATTAGAGGTGGGGTTTGTATGCTAAGGGGAGGAGTTAGGAACTCACATGTTACACAGTGTTACAGCAGAGAACTAGAAAAACAGGCCAATATCAAGAGCTGGGCTATGGTGGTGGAAGTGAGTGTCTATTTATGGGGGCGGAGCCAGATGGACTGGGCAGGACCCCAGCGGGTTGACTCATCCTGCTCATTCACACCAAGTAGTGATTCCCTAAACCAGTTTCCCAATGCGGTCCGCGGGGACCCACAGACAGTCTGCGTTTTTGCTCCCTCCCAGCTCCCTACCGGAGGGAGCAGAAACGCAGACTGTCTGCGGGTCCCCGCGAAACCGGAATGGGAAACACTGCCCTAAAGGTACCAGATCCCCTCTCCCCCCCCAAGCTTACCCAGGCTGCCCCGCTTCTGCGAGGGGAGCCGTGGGGGCGGCGGCCGTGGGGGCACGTTGGAAACGGGACGCGTGGGACTCTCGGAGTCCGGGCAGCGCTTGATGGTCTCGTGGCCGCCCTCGTCTTCCCCGGACAGGCTGTCCTGGGCCGTGAGGATAGACTTGGGCTGCATGTTAACACATGACAAATAAACCAGAAAAGAAAGACCACATTTAACACTCGCTATGCAATATTTGTTATGTGTCCATAGGTAAGAAGGTACAACACCGTTTAGCGTAAAGATAAATGCAGCAATCGTCCGACGCCAGAACCAAACCGGACCAGAGTCTGTCAGACGGCCTTCCTCAGTCTTACCTTGGGGGGCAGTGGAGGGGGTACTTTGGGTCTCATGGTGGAGCTGGAGGAATTGGAGCGAGAAGAAAAGGATCACATTAGCCAGATGTGACTGCGAACACCCGACCGGGCTCAACTGACACCATCACCCCCCGACGCTGGGCACCTGCTCATACCGGTGACCACAACCGTGACCGTGACGCCCTCGAACCCACAACCGCAGCCATGCCACCAGCACGAGGCGTGCGCTCAGTCTGCCAAAGCTGGGGGCGGGGGGGGTTCTTTTTGCACCTCTCAGGCCAGTTTTAGCTAGGGAGGGGTTATGGGAGCAGACTGAGCCATTGAAGGAGAAATGCAAACATGCACTTGGGAGGAAAAGTCAGAGGTCACGGATTGGCGACAGTCAATCAGCACCTGCTGGGAGGGGAGCACGGAATGTGCAGCATAAAAAGACCAACACAGAGTAGGCATGAAGCAGTGTGCTGGAGCGTGGAGGAGGCATGCAGATAGACATGGATGAATTTGGGAATGTCTTCCTCTGGGTATTCACTCCCTCCACATTCCTCTCCTACAACTGTATGGACAAGTGAACGGGAAAGAACTTACTGTCGAGGTTCATCATCGCCACCATCATCCTCCTCTACAGGAGCCTCATTTCCCCTGAGGAGATGAAGGTGGCACAGCTCAGCGGCTTCTGCCAGCGCGGAAACAAAAACCCCTTTGTTTGAAGCTAAAGTTCTGCCCTCAGGGCATCGGTGCGATGTAATAACGCACGGGCTGAACCGGCGGCAGCAGGCCGAGCTAATTGGCCCTCGGGGGAGGAGCAGAGGAGGGAAAACATCACTGGGGGTTCATCAAAATGTGATGGGGGTATGGGGGCTCTCTGCCTAAGTGCTGCAGCTCTCAGGCCGCAAAGACAGGGGTCAGCACAAGGGCAGCTAAAGGCACGTCTGCGTAATACACTCATGGGAGTTTTACTTATACAGAAATGTTCTGAGGGCAGAAAAGAAAAATGATGGGTTCAGAGAGTTAACCATCCAGATACAGAGTAGGTGGGTCCAAGCAACTAGAGGAGGTGGGACCAACCAATCGGATGTCTTGTCTCTCTGAACCAATCATTTTTCGTTCTGCCCTCAGAACATTTTTACGTAGGTAAAACTCCCATGAGCGCATGGTACTGAACACGACGGGTCCCGCTAAAAGCACACACTGAGGGAGCCGTAGGCTTCACCGCGACACGCTGCAGCCGCTCTTAAACAGATCGGAAACGCAATAGTCATACTTCATTCTCGGCAGTCGATTGTCACTAATGCTGAGCCCTTCGGAGTCAATAAACAACATGACCATGAGAAGGACAGCAGGGATTCAGGGCAGCCTTGGTGCAATAAACCCCATTATGGCTTGAAGCTGTGGGTTATGATGGGGTGTGATGATTTGGGGGGGGGGGGTACATTGGCACAGCCCACAGGAGGCGATGTAGTGGAGAAGCCGCCCACTCCCTGGAGAGCTCCAGCGCTCCTGGGTGAAGGCTGAGCTTGCAGGAGTGATAGCTTGTGTGTTTTACCTGTGTGTTTCGGCCTGCTAGTGCCAGACCTCCCGAGGCAGGGCCGGGGCACCGGGATGCACTGAGCGTGCTCACGACAATCCACTAAGACCCGCCCTCCCCACAAAAATGGCCAATGAAACCCGAGCTGCCCGTCACCCCAGAGACCATCACGCGAGTCGGCAATCTCTGTGACAACCTCATCAATCAGGGGGGGCTATAGAAGGCCACGCGGCGATTGGGCGGCAGGCGAATTTACTTACTTGTTGCCACCCAGGGAACGGCCGCCTGGGGACCCGACTTCGTAGCCGACCTAGGAAGAGCAAACGTGAAGACGTCAGCGTGCGCGTCACATTCACCCTGCGTCTCCAGTGTCACGTACCACAATACAGGTCAACGCTCGTTAGGATGGGAATTAATTTAGGTATCATTAATTGTCAAATCAAACTCGTTAACTGGCAACTGGGTGTGAAATGAACCAGGGAGCTCAAAGGGGGGTTAGGCAAGCAGTAAACTAAAATGAATTCACATTCAGCAGCGATGATATTAATGCAGCGGGAAGGTCTGTAACCATTAAAGGGGGTGAGAATTAAAATATAAAAGAATCACAATGATTGCTGATGGAAAAAATTGTTTGCTTGGCAGCAAAATGAGTAACACACTGCAATTATTAATAGAAGCCAATTAACTAACTAGCTACACCGAGTTCGACTCTAATAAGCACCAGGCGAGTTTGCTCAGAGGCACCGGGAGCTGTTACAAGAAACCAATGTGCACTCTGACGCCAGTCTAGATCTCTGTTATGCAATTATTCCTGATTGTGCCTATAATTACGCTGATTAATACTCTGCTGTTAGAACCCAAAGACACAAAAAGGTCCATCGCAAACCAGAGCATCTTTAATCAGACGATGTAAGGAGCTCACAAATCACACGACCACGTCCACGTCCAGCATGTGACGCCGTCCTGCTTATTGGCCCACATCTCCTCTTGTTCGAGTGAAACCTGACACTATCGGTCCTAAAATTTGCCAAGACTGAATTTAGCTAAAGGCAGAAGCCATGGAGGGGAGGGGGCGGATCGATATGGAGCAGACTGAGAATTAAAACCCCTGAAAATTACTTTTAATAAACAGGCATTTTATGGGACAACCCCATTCATTCATCCTGACTGCCCTGTTAGCATTTAAAAACAGCACAAATGTTTTGTTTTTCAGTGAAATGAAGTTATACACATCCACACACACAAACAGTGACACACACCTCACTGATAAGCCAGAGTAACTGGATTAGTCAAAGGAGTGACAAAATACATTAGATAAATTCATATCGTCATTAACATTTTATCTCCATTTTAATCACCCCAGAAACATAGTGTTCTCCATTTCACGGAGTTGTTTACTGGATTGATTCCAATCAAGTGCTTTGCTCAACAGCAATTTCTCCTATGTGGGACGGGAACCAACAACCTCCTGGTTCCAGGTCAACGACTTTAAACATCAGGCAGCTGAAGTTGAAAGAAGAGAATTTTAACCTGTCGGCTGCAATTTAACTGTCAGTTTTAACAACTCAACCTTGGTTTTCTGCTTTTCTGTGAGGCCTACCCGGGGGAAACAGACTTTAATGGCGCACACAGGAAGACAGGAAAGCAACATCCATGAATTTTAACACAATATTTTAATTACAGCTGCCACCGTTACTACATTATTCCTCTGCTCCCACTGTGTAACCGCCAGCGCTAATTAACGGACGCTTGGATTCAGTGTTCTGCCTCCCTGCAACGATTAAGTGATCTGGCTTGTTAGGAGAGGTAATACCCAGGTCGCAGGGAAGTGCATATGACAACCTTCCGGAATATTCCAGCACCTGGGTGTCCCCTGAGCCTCCCAAAGTGCCGTGGCCGTGAGTGACGCAGCTTGCAATCCAAGCCGATGGTTAAAAAAATAAACAACAATAAAAAGGACGGCTTTGGCAGAGGTCACAGAACTTGCTTTACATCACCTATTAAAATTGATGAGCGGCACAGTACTGGGAAACGGACTAGTTAACGGGAACCACGCCCCCTGCAGGCCAAGAGAGAAACTTCAACTAAAAGAAATGGCCCATGGGCCCAAGTTATGGTCTAAAATGGACCTCTGCATCCTGTCGGTCTCCATGGAAACTGACCCACAATACCTCTAAGTGGACTTCAGTGCCACGGCAAGAAAACGCGCTCACATGGCCGATACTGTGCCTTTTGCCTGCTCGCTGTAAGCCGATATAAAAAAAAACCCTTCAGAGTCACAGAGAACGCAGCCACAATAGCAGACCATCCCCCTCGACAACAGCGTCAAACTTTTTCTCTCTACATGGAACAGGGAAAAACAAACAATCCCAGCACTGAAAGGATGCTGCAGCCCTTATGCAGATTCCGACACGCAGGTTCCGACACGCAGGTTCCCCTCCCACCTCAGGATCACAAGTCGATTGAATTTACCCCCCCCCCCAGGTCACAGGGTCATCATCTCTACCCCCCAGAGGTGACGTCAAACTGGCCTTCACGCTCTTCTCATGCTGGGGGGGGGGTTGTTCTCTTACAGAAGGCTCCATTTTCATGGTTTCTCCGCTCTTACTGTCATGTCAATGACAGGACTGGCAGGGGTGCATGCGGGCCGGGGTTGCCAGGGCACTGGTTCCAGCCAAAAGCTGATTGGCCCCCAGAGATCCCCCTCCCCTGTCACTCGTTCAATTCAAAACATATCATTGGCTAACGAGAAGGTTGGCCCCTCTGTATGAATAATGGCCTCTTATGCCCCCCACCATAAAGAAAGGCTATAATAGCCCTTGAGTGTGGGACGTTTCCCTTAAGCGCCATAGCTATTCGGCCTTCATCCCTCACAAGAGGCTACAAATCTCCACTATTCCTCCCTACACTCACATATGAGCAGCTCCAAACAGTGTTATAATATGGCTTACAGCATTAACAAGCATTACCCAAAATATAGAGCAGTACCAGAGTCTGCGGAACGTCCCACTGGGTAAGAGAAGCGGGGGGAGCTAAAATTGTGAAACATCAGTCTGCATTTGTCAGCTTGTCAGAGGAAAATGACTAAGGCAACAGAACAGGTTTTCCCAATGAAAGGGTCCCGTCCTTAAATACAGACAGGACGCTTTCTGGAGGATGGGTTGTACCACTGATTGCCCCATCCTGAAGTGCATTACCCTGACCCCTCTCCGCCCAAGAGACAATTTTTGGTGAACCAGTCCTTGGGAGTCACCTACACACCCACCCACCCAGCAGAGGTCCAGGGAGGGAGCACAGTGTCCGTCTGAGGGGGGGGGTTGCATGCTGTGTACTGCTGCTGTGAGGGCTTCCTGTGCAAACCAGACACCCAAACGGGCCAGATCTCACTCCGGGAAAGAGGCACGGAGTGACTTCAATCCCCTGGCACGTTTCACACAGGCCACAAGTCAGCCAATGGAGGCCTACAGTCCCTAGTCTCGTCCAATCAGACGGAGGGGGCCCATGTGACGTTGGCCGTGCGACATATGGCGACAGACAGCAGCACAGACATGAGACAGCGGATAAAGGACGACCAAAAAGCAAAGAGGACACATAAATATGCCTGGAGAAACAGACAAAAAAAAAAAGTAGCATAAAGAGGACAAAATCAGACAGGCGTGAATACCAGTTTCGGTCTTGCGGTGTAGTATAGTTCCTCAGCACAGTCCAAAAATTCCTCAGTGTCGGCCTGTTTGGCAGACAGACCGAGAGATTCAAAAACTCGAAGTTGTCACACCCACAGCAGAGGGATTGGGGGAGGGGCATGGGGAGTATTTGGGGGGGGGGGGGGGGGCGGGGGGGGGGGGGGGGGGCGGG